ATCAGTTTCATCAACATAACTGGTCGGAACGGGATTCGATATTGGAAATTCTGGAGGAAAGTACTCCATTGGGCATTCTGGTGCTGGTGCTGTGGGGGTGGGAAATCTGTCACATTCCACATCTTGTGTTGATGAAGCTGCAATTGAAATTAAAGTTATTAGTTTACTATGAACTGGATTGTGTTTCCACTAACAATGGACTTGGTCAAATGTGGACTTACAGGGTTCATCAAACACTGGTGTGTAAATTCCATCTGTTGTCTTAGAAGAAAGATTTTTTAACAATTTTTTTCTATTTACTTTGGAAAGATCGTTCAAATCAACCTTTCGGCCTCTCTTTCGTGTAGTTTTTTTAGAATTCTCTGATGCCGACATAACCTGACACCATAAGAAAGTAATTACAACTTTCTCATTGGAATCACCAATGTCGTCCACAATTAAAATGATAGGTATTACTAGTATGAGCAGTGACTTAATATGTTTTCATTCAGACTCACTTCGAAACAAATAGTCCTGAACGACACGCCATTTACAAAATCCCGATTCTCCTCGATTCACGATGACACCAGACGACCAAAACCAATAACAACAAAAACAAACAAGAGAAAGACGATCGCGCGAAGACACGATTGCCAGCCAAACAGAAAAGTAAAGCGACGGAGGATAGGAGCTATATGTAATATTTCTTTATACTTTACGTTCAAATATCTGTGTTTCTTAAAAAAAATTACCTGAAACTCCGTTTCCCTTTATTGATGTTCGCTTTTTGTGGTGCATAAAGTTTAATTTTGTTTTGTTGTGTTGGCGAATTTGTTTTCAAATTGAATCAGCTGATTCTGCCACAGTCTCTCTGACCCTTGCCGACACTCGACATCTCGGCAACAGCTGATCGCTGTCACAATCATACCTGTTAGTTTACTTTCTGTCATCAATTCAAATGTCGTACGTCTTAGTGCTGTGGGATAACCCTGTGAGCAGTAGCGTTGTTCCTCAGAGAGATGTGAAAGGGGGAGTAGATGTTGGACAAAAACGTTTTATTAAATGGCATGGAAAGGAGTTTATGGCAAGAATTATACGAACTGGTAAGTTGACTAGACTTATCCCATTTCTATTGTGGCTGTGGACAGGACTGTTAGTTACACGACCAGCCAAAATGTTTATTATAGCTATGATGAAAAAACAAATAAAGGGTATTTCATATGCTTTATTTGCAGGCACCAAAAATCACCTAGAAACCATAACTCTCACAAAGGATGGAGATATTATTGATTAGTTAGCACAATTGTTAACGAGCCAAAATGTTTATTGTAGCTACGATGAGAAAACAAATAATGGGTATTTCATATGCTTTATTTGCAGGCACCAAAAAACACCTAGAAACCATAACTCTCACAAAGGATGGAGATATTTTTGATGAAACTAAAGGTCCTGAATCAGAGGCAGTTAAGTCTCGAAAAGAGTTATTAGATGAAAGGTGTAGAAAAGCGGTTCAGCACAAGACTAAAGCTCAGGCAGAACGAGCGCACTTCCTGTACCAAATCACTTGTAAGTTGTTTGTAAGAAATATAGATGGATGCAGTTCGATTTGTCAGTACTAAAACTATTTTCATTTCATTTATCTCTTTACAGTTGAAGCTAACGAGGGTAATAATGAAAACAA